TGAATCGGAAGTGGAGCGGCCGGGACTAGAACTGGCGCCCGTGTGGGATGCCGGTGTCTTCTCATTTTATGAAACAGTGTCATCTTCTGAAGAGTAAGATTTTCAGTTTTCTGAAGTCCGCTTTATTCTCTGTAGTTTATGGTGTTTGTGTCATGTTATAAGTGTTTGCCAAGCCCAAGGTCACTAAGATTTTTCTCCTAGACTTTGCATGGGTTAATGTTGTGGGGCGAGGAGTGGGCTTTCTCTTTGGCAGGTGGGTTTTGTGCACGTGGCCTGCCAGCCGACGTAGCCTACCTGTGGAGTTGCCCTTGTTGGGCAGCGCCGAGCCTGTGTGTGCGTCTGTGAACAGACTGGCCTTTCTGTCCCGCTGCTGTGTTCGTCTTCGCTCCAGCGCCACGTTGTCGGGGTGACCCCTCTGGAGTCAGGCACGTGAGTCTCGCTTCCTTCCGTACAGAGTTCTCTGGCTGTTCCGGGGTCTTTGCGTTGCCACAAAAACTCTTCGCTTCTGCCTGAGCTTCTCCAGAAGGTCGGGCCGCAGTGTTGCGTGGGCCGGCCCTGACTCCGTGCGTTTGGGGGAGAACTGGCATCTGGATGGTCTGGAGTCTTCCTTGGGCTGGGGCGCGTCTCCGTGGAGATGAGTGCCGTGACCTCTCGGCCACGCTTTGACGTTTCGGGGTTGAGGTCGTGCCTGTCTGTGAGAGTTACCCTGAGTCCTGAGCATTGTGAAGTTGCTGTTGGAAGTGGAATTGGAATTCCGGCTGCTTCCGAATGTTTGTCTACGTAGGGAATAAGGGGCATCTTACTCACGGTGCTTGTGTCCAGCTCCTTTGTTCTGTGTGTGCTCTCCAGTGACTGTCACGTCACCTGGGAATAAAGGCGGGTTTACTTCCTCCTTCCCAACCTGGATGCCTGGCCTGTCTGTTCCTTGCCTCATTGCAGTGGCAAGAACCTCCTGTAGGAAGCTGAGTCAGAGTGGTGAGTGTGGACGTCTTTGCCCGCACGCCCGCCGTTAGGGGGAGATGCATGCGGCGCCATCCTGCGGCAAGGCTCTGTCAGTGGTGGTATTCCATGGGGATTCTGAATCAGACAGCATTCCTGGCCTGCCTCGAGTTTTTATCAGCAATAGACCCACGTGGTCTTTTTTTTTTTTTTTAAGGTGTTTATTTGAGGTGGAGTGACAGAGTGAGAAATCTTCATCCACAGGTTCACTCCCTAAATGGCTGCCACAGCCAGGTCTGGGCCAGGGTGAAGCCAGGAGCCAGGAGCTCCATCCACGTCTCCCCCATGGGTGTCAGGGGCCCAAGCACTTGAGCCATCTTCCACTGCCTTCCCAGGTGCGTGAGCAGAGAGCGGGATTGGAAGTGGGGCAGCCGGGGCTCAAAGCCATGCTCTGGTCAGGAAAGCTGGCATCGCAGGCAGGAGTAGATCCAGTTCTGTCAGCGCGTTCTCCTGCATCTGTCAGGGCGCCAGCTCCGAGGGTTTTCCAGTCCTGCCTGCCCTGGCTCCCTGTCTGGGCTGTCCCCTCTCCCTGTGCAGACAGGCAGTTCCCCTCCCCGGGACTGCCGTGTCCGGCCGTCCCCAGTGCTGCTTGCTGCATGGGGCAGGTGTGCGCTGACTGAACGGCAGCAGGTGAGCTTAGTGAGGAGCCCGTGCAGCCAGCCAGGGCCCTGCTTCCTCCCTGCGCTGTGGGCGCTGGGGGCGCTGGGGGCGCTGTGGGCTCAGGAGGGACCAGGGTGCTGGCACACAGCTGCCTGCCCCTCTCCAATAACAGCCAAACGCCGTATCCATTCAGAAAGCACACAAGGTGTAGGTTTTGTTTTTGAAGTTTATTTATGTATTTGAAAGAAAGAAGAGAGAGATGAATCTTCCCGAAATGGTCACCACAGCCAAGGCTGGACCAGGCCGGAGCCGAGAGTCTGGAGCCTGGAACTCCATCTGGGTCTCCTGTGTGTGTGGCAAGGGCTTCCCAGGCGCGTTAGTAGGAGCTGTATTGAAAGTGGAACAAGGGGGGCCGGTGCTGTGGCGCAGTGGGTTAATCCTCCACCTGCGGCACCGGCATCCCATATGGGCGCGGGTTCGAGTCCTGGCTGCTCCTCTTCCAATCCAGCTCTCTGCTGTGGCCTAGGAAAGCAGTGGAAGATGGCTCCAGTGCTTGGGCCCCTGCACCTGTGTGGGAGACCTGGATGGAGCTCCTGGCTGCTGGCTTCAGCCTCGCTCAGCTCCAGCCATTGAAGCCATTTAGGGAGTGAACCAGTGGACGCAAGACCTTTCTGTCTCTCCCTCTCATTGTCTATAACTGCCTCTCAAATAAATAAAATCTTTTAAAGGGAGGGGGCGGTGGTGCCGTGGCACACTAGCTTAATCCTCTGCCTACGGCACCAGCATCCCATATGGGCACCAATTCTAGTCCCGGTTGCCCCTCTTCCAGTCCAGCTCTCTGCTGTGGCCCGGGAAGGCAGTGGAGGATGGCCCAAGTGCTTGGGCCCTGCACCCGCGAAGGAGGAAACTCCTGGCTCCTGGCTTCGGATTGGTGCAGCTCCGGCCGTTGCAGCCATCTGGGGAGTGAACCAGCAGAAGGAAGACCTTTCTCTCTGTCCCTCACTGTCTAACTCTACCTGTCAAATAAATAAAGAATTAAAAAAATAAAATGGAACAAAACCAGAACAACCAGCACTCAATCGAGCATGCTGATACGGGTGCCGGCACCACAGGCAGCAGCGTAACCACTGCGCCACAGCGCCGGCCCCAGCAGGCAGAACTTTTCCTGTGGACTGAGTGTTTGTGAAGCAATGCGCCTGAGTGACGCCCTCGTCCACGGCAGGGAAGCGCGTGTCCCTGAGAGCCACTCTTGTCCCCTCTGGTCGCCGCCATCAAGTCTTCTTGTCCCCTCCTGGTCACCGCCATTGAGTCTTGCCTGCTTTTGAGCTTTAGCCCAACACGGAGCTGCCACAGCGCCGGCCACGGGCTCTGAGAGTGACACTGCGTATCGTGAGCTGGGTGCTATGTGGGGTGGACGGAGCGGCCTTGTCCGTGCGGGTGGCTCTCAGTTGGGGCTTTTGGAATGCGGCTGCGCTCACCCTTCCCCGTGCACGTGTGCTCACGTTTCTGCTGGTTCTGCCCCAGAGTAGCATTGCTGGGCATGTCCGCCCTGTGTCCCCCGGTGGTGGTGCCCCTGATGTGGCTCGTCAGGGTCGGAGCTGCCCGCGTCCTCGCGGCACCTTGTGGGCTGGAGCACGGTCGCGCAGCCTGCCGGAGAGAGTGCCAAGCCTCACCAGGGCTCAGAGTCCCGTCTGTGACATGAACACAGGGACTTCCGGCCTGGCTCCCCAGCCAGCCCATGCGGCATGCCCTCTTGCCGTGTCATTCTGACTTGCCTGCTCGAGCTGTCCTTGTGAAGGGGCTGCAGCGGCGGCGGTGCCCACCCGTGGCTTCCGCCCCTGAGCCAACCTCAGGACCAGCCACGGCACCCCAGCCCTCACCAGGGGGCCTGGCATCAGGGGAGTGCCCCACAGCCGTATGGCGGCTGGGGCGGAGGCCCTCCTGCACCTGGCGGTCAGCTCCGTTCCTGATGTCCGCATGCCGTCATGGTTTCCCTGTGTCTGGGCTGGGGGCCGGGGCGGGGTGGGGGCCCCGTGCTGTGCTGCAGCTTTGCAGGGCTGCACTGCGTGGTCCTCGCGTGCGTTCTCTCAAGGGGCAGCCCAGGGTGCCGTGGCGAGCCTCAGCAGTTGTGCCTGGTGTCTCCCGGAGGTTGGTCCCTGTTCCCGCTCGGTGCAACTCTTCCGCGGTAGAGCCGGCTCAGCGCTGTGTGCGGGTCCCCTCTCGCGGGCCCCAGGTCCTGTGCAATCTCCTGTAGCTGGCATTCTTATTAGCGGTTTCTGGGAGAGGGGGAGTTGCCGCCGGCCCAGTGTCCTCACAGAGGGCAGAGGTGAAGGCCTCGGTGTGGCTGCCTCGCTCGCTTGCTCGCGCTCCAGTTGTGTCCACGTCGGAAAGGAAGCAGCTTGCAGGTGACATTCTGAGACCTGCTCTGCCCCCAGAGGGCCGAGATCAGGATTCTGAGTCCAGGGGCTGTGTGAGCCAGTGGGCCTTGGGCCGGGAGGAGCTGTGCAGACGTGAAGTGGGCGGGAAGCGAGGAGGGTCGGGGCGGGCGGTGGCTGCGGAGCGCAGAGCCGCCGCCCTCTGCTGAGCGGAGCTCCCACCTGAGGCCTGCCGTAGCTCTCCTCCCAGGGCCACCGTGCGTTTGCACGCCTGGGAACCTCCACCGCTGCCGCAGCAGCTTCCCATTTCTGGGCGACTCGTGGGGAGCAGCCAGGCCTCCGCCCGCTGCCCGCACCCAGGCTGGTGCTTCTGTCCCCGACCAAGGTTCCAAGTGCGATTTTGTGCTCGGCCCGTTGCTGCCCGTGGCAGGAGCTCAGTGCACAGGGTCGTCACCCCAGGGACGCCGACAGGCCGCCCAGAGGGCTGATACTCCGGGGGCAGCAGGCCGGCCCGCCAGTGAGGAAGTGCTTTTGCAGGTGGTCACTTGGTGGCTGTGACTGGGATATCCCCCCCCCCCCCCAGGGGGGGGTTCTTCCTCTGGAAGGCGAATAAAGGGATTTTGCCCCCTGGGGGTTTTGAGGCTCCCGGGGCGGCGGGGGGGGGGGGGGGGGGGGTTTTTTTTGAAGCGGGAGCGGGCAGCGCTGGGCTGTGTGGGGGCCGCAGGGGCCGCCCCTCCTTGCAGTGACTTGCAGCAGAGGGAGCTGCCTGGGGACTCGTGGGGTTTGTCAGAAGCAGGAAGACTTGGGCTGAAGAGCACGGCTGGACCAGAGCACACACGCGTGCACCAGCGGGGCCCGCTTCCTTCCCGTGTCCGCGCACACACGGCGCATGCCCAGCCCTGTGCAGGCGGCCTCCTGCCCAGCACCACGCAGGCTGTGCTTGGGCGTGGAATGGGAGCGACGGCTTGCTCCCTGATGAGCACTTCCAGAGCTTTGCGAGTAAGTGGTTTTGTAAATTCTGTCTAGACCAGTTCTGCCTTTAAAACTAATAATAAACCAGCAGCAGTGTCCACACTGTTAGATTCGGGGGAACCCGTTTGCGCAGGTGCTTTGGGGCCGCAGCCCCGGGAGGGGGGTACTGCCCACTGCCTGGGGCGTTGGAAGGGTGGCCAGACGGGGAGTCATCGGGCCAGCACGGCGCGGAGCAGGCTCCAGGGCTGTGGATGGGCCCTTGGCTCAGCGTTGAGTGTGGGCTGGAGACCCCGTGCGGCCTGGGGAGAGCACAGAAGCAGCACCAGGGCCATCTGGAGGTGGCCCTGTGGTTTCGAGGAACGTTCTGGAAACTGTGCATTTCCTGCTGGGGAGGGTCAGAGTCTGATGCCACTGTCCCTTCAGGCTGGCGGGCGGGGCCTGTGCAGCCTTCTAGCTGGGTGGTCTTTCTCCTTGGGCCATCTGTTTCTTTACCTGGAAATGGGGGCGTGGGGGTGAGCACTGAGAGATGTGGGCTCCTGTGCAGCCCGCCGGGCCGGGGCAGGCTCAGGGCTCAGGCCTGAGGGAGCGTGGCACACCGCCAGCTGCAGGCCGGAGAGGGCCCTCCCCGAGGTGGAGACGGGGCTGGGAGCGGAGGGACCTCTCCGACTGCACGGCCGCGTGTCTCAGTTCCTCGTTTCTGCTCAGGGCTGGAAATCCCCCGCGGGCAGCGTTGCTCGGGCGCTGCAGGCGCAGCCCCGCTTCCCCAGGTGCGGCTTTGCCGAGGCCGCCTGGGCTGCAGGTGCCCTCACAGCCCCGCGGCAGTGCGACTCGGACGGCGGTCTGGGCTCCTGGGGGCGTGAGGGTGGCCACAAGGCAGAGCGGCCACGGCCTGTGACCCAGCTGTGGACTCTGCACCATGTGCCTGGCTCCCGGCTGCTCCCGCACGGGTGCGGCGGTGTCCTCTCCACCTATGGAGACGGGCAAGGGCTTTTGCCCATGTCCTCACCCTCGTGTGACAGACCTGGAACACCCCTCCTGCCTGCTGGCTGGTCTCGGCTGCCCGTGCACCTGCCCTCTCTGTGGCCGTAGCCATCCTGGGCTCCCGCTAAGGGAGAAGCTTGAGTCAGGCCGCGGGCCGAGCGCTCAGCCCTGCCTTCTGGCTCAGGCACGCAGGCCGTTTCTGTGCTGGGACTGGCGGGCGGCAGACCCGCAGCCTGCGGGAGGCCCGGCGAGGAGCTCCGGGGGGCTCAGCAGATGGAGGGGCCGTGTCCTTTGGAGCAGAGGTTAGGCCAGCACGGCCCCCTCCCCGCACTGGTGGCAGATGGTGGAGCCACACGCCGCGGAGGGGCTGCCATCGGGTCTGTGCTCCCTCACCTGAGTGCCTGCCAGTCGTCTGGAGCCGAGACCTTCCGTCCGGTGTTAACAGATCAGGTGTGATTTGTCGTGTATATACATTTGTTATCTTCGGCAAATTTCAGACATCAAAGCAGAGAGGAGTCTGCTCCGCGTCCTGTTGGGTGGACAGCACGTGGAGCCAGTCCGCTCTGCTGCCGTCCCATCCCCGGGAGAGGGGCAGCGCTCCTGGGCCCCGGGCTCCCTGTGGGCGCTCCCCTGTGTGGGTCCGGCCCCGCTTCCTTCGCGTGTCGGCTGTGAGACGTGCTGGCCACACCTGTGCAGGAAGCCTCAGGTCTCCTGGGGCGTCCGCGCCTGCGCTTGGGTCTCGGTGGCGCGGGCACGGGAGAGCCTCGAGCGCCCGGCATGCATGCCGCACGTCCGGCTGGCCACCCTCACCTAGATAGCAGGTCACCTCTCCCTGCTAGTTCCGCCCGCCTTGACCCTCCAGCCCAAGACCAGGCGTCCCCACTCGTGTCTGTGAGACCCCAGAGACACGGGCTGGCCGGTGTGTCCTTTCCTGTCGGCCCCGAGTGCTCTCCAGGCCAGGATCCCGTGTGACAGTCCACAGCACCCCTGGGACTGCTGCCCGAGAGCCCTCGGGGTGGGCACCTCAGGGCCCCCTCCCACTCCAGGCCAACATGGTGGTGGTGGTGATCGGGACGGCCCCTTGGTGGAACTGGGCCGGCACCGGCTTCTCTGCTTCGAGGAAAGCAGTGATGTGCATCTGCTCGGGGAGCCCTGACAAACCTAAGAGGCCGCAGTCCCTGCCAACTCCTCCCTTCTCCGAAAGCCACTTGGCAGAGGGTGGGGAGGTGTTTGGCCTGGGAATGAATCCCCAGGAAGAAGCTGCGGGCCCCCAGCGCCCTGTGTGCCGTGGGCGGTGTCGGCAGAGCCGCCTTAGGCTGCCTCGGGGGCAGCGCCTGTGCTGGCATTCGGATCAGGCACATTTCTCCACGGCTCCGGGAGCGACCGAGACCTGGGGCGCGGCAGCAGCGAAGGCTGGTGGGAGACAGAGTGTGTGGGAGCCAGCCCGCGCCCCCCGTGTCTGTCCCCTCTCGGCCTTGCCCTGGTGGTCCGTCCTGGCCGCCAGAGCCCCTGTCAGCCACAGGCTCCCTTCACTGACGGTGGGAGGCCACTGGAGGGGTATGGTGTGGTAGGCGAGGCAGGTTTCCCGTGGCCAGCTCGCCTCTTGCTCCTCAGGGCCCCGCACGGCTGGGTGCTCGGTGTCCCCTGGGACAGAGTGGCCGTGTTGGGCTCTGCAGGGCTGTTGGATCAGGGACCTTCCATGTCCTGCCCGCCTTCGTGGGGGGCCGGCACTGCATTGCTGGGGGTGGGGGCCTGACTGCTCTGGAATGTTCCGCTGGTGTTCAGGGGCACGCACCCCTCTCTACCTGACCTGGCTTTGTAGGTGGAACCCCAGGAGCCTGGCCTCCTCCCCAGCGGGTAGAGAGATCTGCAGAGGGACACGGAGGACATGGCCCGAGGCCCCAGACCTTCACCCCTCGTCCCTGCTGCCCACGCAGCTGCAGGAGGCTCTTAGGCCGGCTGCTGGCTCGGCGGTGAGCTCCAAGGGGCCGCTCGTGCCAGAGCCGGGGGTGGCCCAGGTGTTCCACCTCCTCCCTCCCATCTGGCAGCAGGACGGCGTCTGCCCGAGGACAAGGACACTCTGTGCCGCTGGGCTCGCTGGGCCTGGGCAGCGTCCCACTCTCCGGGGACTGCTGGTTCAGGAGGACGTAGGGGCCCATGGCGCTAAATATACCAGGCTGAGGTCAGTGGGGTGGAGACGAGGCCATGTGGCAAGCCCAGGAGCCCTGCAGGGACCAGCCACCCCCACCCCCGCCCCTGCCCCCTGCAGGTAAGCACAGGGTGGGCTGTTTCCTACCCACTCTCCCCTCAGGCTGGGCTCTGGCCGTGAACCATGCACTGCGAGGTTGGCCCATTGGCAGGCGGGCAGCAGAGTTGGGGGTGTGGGGGCCGTAGTCACTGTTCTGTGGTCACTCTGGAACTTTAAGCTGGGGGAGGAAGGCGATGGCTGTCGAGATGGGCCTGCAGGTGAGAGGAGCCAGGATGCGCGGGCCGCCAGGGAAGTCCACCCCAGTCCCTCGTCCTGGGCACGTGGCGGCCCGCGCTGGCTTCAGGAGGGTGACACCTGGTGATAGCTAGCAGGAAGTCGGGGACCCCAGAGCCTGCCAGCACTTGGAGCAGGAAGAGGGTCCTGAGAACCCCCTGCCGGCAGGCGCCCTGATCCTCGCCCAGTGAGGCCGCACGCTGCGGAGCCTGGTCGCGCGGTGCGGGTGTGCGCCGGTTAAGGCTCTAATTGGTGAGCAGCAGGAAAGCAGTGCCACAGTCCTGCCTGTCCCGCTCTTGCCCTTGGGCAGTGCACGGGGCCTAGACCACCCCACGATTCCCAGTGGCCCAAAGTCGTGCCTCACACAGGCATCCATCGAAGCCTTGTTTGTGGTGGCAAGTGGGGACGCGCTGTGTCTCCCGACATGAAATAGCATCCCTGCCGCTGGGGGGCGCCACTGAGCCCAGCCAGGGCTGCTTGACCTGAACTTGTGGAGTCAAGCGAGAAAGCAGGGCGCAGAGCCAAGGTGCTTTGGTGGCATTTTGTTTTATTTTTTTAAAGTTAATTTATTTGAAAGGCAGACACACACAGCCACCCACGAGTTCACTCCCCGAGTGGCTGCAGGGCCCCAGCACTAGGGCCGTCCTCCTCTGCTTTCCCGGGCCATAGCAGGGAGCTGGATCAGAAGTGGAGCAGCCGGGACGCGAACCAGCACTCACATGGGCTACACGGCGCCCCCTGTAGGAGTGCTCGATGTGTTCTGGTGCAGACCCGGCAATTGTGCCTTACACGATGTTTTCTAAGAAGCCCAAGTTCTGCTTCCAGCCGGCGCCCACGTGGTCCGTGCTCTTCCCACGCCCACTGCCACGGGGGCTCCCAGAGGTGCCTGTGTGTCCTGACTGCCGAGAAACAGCCTCTGTCCCCCGAGAAGCAGCGCGAGCTTGCCCATTCAGGCCTGGGTCCACGCGGCTGGGGTGGGATTTGGCGCCTGCTGTTTGAGAGCTGACCTGTGTGTCCCGCCCACCTTTGGCGGACGCGAGTGCTGTTGCACTAACCCCCGACCCTCTCTGCCTGGGGCGGGCACTGTGTGCCAGATGGCCTGTGTGCGGCACCTGCACTGTGTGGTCGCGGCCGCTGGCTGCCTGTCACCATCGGTGATGCCCGGAGAGTGCTGGGGACCGGGCGTGGCCACGGCAAGGTCATGGAGGGGCACTGCACCTGCCAGATAAAGCCCTACGGCGCCGCAGCCGCGTGCCCCGGAGCCTCCTGGTACCCGCAGATAGCATTTCTGCCAGCTGGGCTGCGGGTCACCCTCCCGGTTGGCTTCCAGAGCTGCCAGGGGCGCTGCCTGCCTGTCGCCCAGGCTCCTTGTTGGCCTCACTGCTGCCCAGGTGTTCACTGTCCCAGACAGGCGTCACCCTCCACGTGGTGGCGTTCTGCACGCGCACGCTCTGGTGTCTGGGGCCTTAAGTAAGTCAAGTTGCCCGGTGCGTTCTGGTCAGGCAGTGTGAAGCTTTGTGCATTTTATTGGGCAAGTCCTTCGCTCCTGCCCCCATCGCGTGACAGAACAGAGCTCACCTCCAGGACAGGAGCTGGGCATGTCGGGAGGGGCGGCAGGGGCGAGGGCTGCCGCGGACGAGGGGACAAGGGCAGGGCCTGAGCGCTGGTTCTTGTCCCACAGATCCGGAACATGGTGGCGGTGTTGGAAGTCATCTCCAGCCTGGAGAAATACCCCATTACCAAAGAGGCACTGGAGGTGAGTGGGCCCTGCAGGAACGCGGGCGGGAGGGCCCCTGGGGTGTGCGCCACCCACAGCCCCCAGCCTGCTGGTCAGCGCCTCCGACAGTCGCCAGGGAGCTCTCCTGTCCCAGAGCACCGGGAATTCCCGTGGGTTTTCGTCTGCAGAGCTGGCAGACTGGGCCAGTGGGGGAGGGGCGGGTCCTGGCCCCCAGGCGCGTCCCGTCCCCATCACTGTGGCTGCTGTCTCTGCAGGAAACGCGGCTCGGGAAGCTCATCAACGACGTGCGCAAGAAGACCACCAACGAGGAGCTCGCCAAGCGCGCCAAGAAGCTGCTGCGGAGCTGGCAGAAGCTCATCGAGCCCGCGCACCAGAATGAGGCGGCGCTGCGCGGGCTGGCGGGGGCCGCGGGCTCGGCCAACGGGGGCGCGCACCACTGCCGGCCGGAGGCGGGGCCGCCCGGCACGCCCAAGAGCATCCAGGAGCTGAAGAGCCGCAACGACATCCAGCGGCTGCCCGGGCAGCGGCCGGACAGACTGGGCGGCCAGAAGCGCCGGGGGGACCAGCGCGACCTCGGCCACCCCGGGCCGCCCGCCAAGGTCTCCAAAGCCAGCCACGAGCCCCTGCTCCCCAATTCGTCCCCCCTCCCCACCAACGGGATCAGCGGGAGCCCAGAGAGCTTCCCTGGGCCCCCCGACGGTGGCGGCGGTGGCGGTGGCGGCGGCGGGGGGCACGGCCCTGAGAGCGGCCGTGTGGAGCCCACCGAGAATGACACGCACAGCGGCAAGATCCCTGTCCACGCGGTGCGGCCGCACACCAGCTCCCCGGGCCTGGGCCAGCCCCCCGGGCCCTGCCTGCAGACTAAGGCAGCGGTGCTGCAGCAGCTGGACAGGGTGGACGAGACCCCCGGGCCCCCCCACCCCAGGGGGCCCGCGCGCTGCTCCTTCAGCCCCCGGAACTCACGGCACGAGGGCTCCTTTGCCCGGCAGCGGAGCCCGTATGCACCCAAGGGCTCCGTGTCCAGCCCCTCGCCGCGGCTCCAGCCGCTCGACGCCACCCAGGTGCCCTCACCTCTCCCGCTGGCCCAGCCGTCCACGCCCCCCGTGCGGCGGCTGGAGCTGCTGCCCAGTGCCGAGAGCCCGGTGCGCTGGCTGGAGCAGCCCGAGGGCCGCCATCGACTGGCGGCGCCGGGCTGCAAGGCAGGGCTGCCCCCGGCCGGCTTCTCCCCAGACTCCTCCAGGGTGGACAGCGACGCTGCCGCCGCCGGGGGCTCGGACAGCAAAAAGAAGAAAAGGTACCGGCCACGCGACTACACGGTGAACTTGGACGGGCAGGTGGCCGAGGCGGGCGTGAGGCCCGTGCGGTTAAAAGAGCGGAAGCTCACCTTTGACCCCATGACGAGACAGATCAAACCTCTGACCCAGAAAGAGCCAGTGCGGGCGGACAGCCCTGCGCGCACGGAGCAACCGCCCAGGACAGAGCCGGACGCGCCCGAGGCCAAGGCCAGCCTCCAGAGCCCCTTTGAGCAGACGAACTGGAAGGAGCTGTCGGGCAACGAGATCATCCAGTCGTACCTGAGCCGGCAGAGCAGCCTGCTGCTGTCCTCCGGCACGCAGACGCCGGGCGCCCACCACTTCATGTCCAAGTACCTGAAGCAGGAGCAGAGCCGGCTCGGGGCCCGGCGGCCGCACGTGCTGCTGCCGCACAGCCCGCCCGCCGAGCTGCCGGGGCTGAGCCGGGAGCTCACGCAGGACGATCTCGACAGAATCCAGGCCGGCCAGTGGCCGGGGGTGAACGGGTGTCGGGACACACAGGGTAACTGGTATGACTGGACGCAGTGCATATCGCTCGACCCGCACGGCGACGACGGGCGCTTGAACGTTCTGCCTTACGTCTGCCTGGACTGAGCGCCCGCGGCCGCCGGGCGCACTCCCACCTCGCGGCGGGCGGGAGCGGGGGTGGGGGGCAGGAGCCACGCGGGCTTCCGCCCCTTCCCCCCTCCCGGGACTCTCCTCCTTTTGTGAAATGCTGCTACCAGTTTACTAACAAAATTGCGAAGGGAGGGCGGCGCGCACGGACGGCAAAGCGAGTTCGGAACTTGAGCGAACGCGTCAGTCCCCACCCGGGCACCCAGGCAGGCAGGCAGGCAGGCAGGCGGGCGCAGGGCTCCGCGCTGGGGGGAGCAGCAGGAGCACGCGTCTCGGCCCCGCACTCGCTCTTCTGGGGTCTGGGAGCCGGGGGGCCGCGGGCGGGCCACGTGGACGACCAGTCTAGCCCACACTCCACGAGCATCCACCCATTTCGATCTGGTTTCGGTTCAAAATCCCCAGTTTTTCAAAGAAATGCTGCAAAAAATTTCAGTTCTCTCGCGTTTATTTTCCATGTGACCACCAGCCAAAACCCGCCCTCCCCGTCCCTGCCCCTCCCCCACACGCCTGGGGAGTTCACCTTCCTAGAGTCCCCCCCAGAACAACACAGATGTCGCCGCGGGTGCTACTGGGGTGCGCGCCGTGCCGCCGGGCGAGGAGCCGTCTGCGCTGACACTCATAACCATTCCTTTAGATTCGTTTGCCTTATGGTTACTCGTCATAAACGCGATTTGCAAAAACAAGGAGCCTTAGTGAATGTACAGAACCCAGACTTCTGCGTCCTCACGCAGAAGGGAGCAACTTTGCTATTTGGTCCAGTAAGTGGACACCTTGTGATATAAATGTGGAAATAAAAAACCCATTTGCACAAACTCGTCTGAGAATCGTTTCCTACTTGGGCCTTCGGACAGCCACACAGCGCCTGCCTGGATTCTGGACGAGCCGGGAGGGCCCGGGCCCCACAGCCCGACGGCAGGCTGGGCTGCGGCCACCTGCCAGCTCTGGAGAGACCCCACAGGCGCCACGTCTGCAGCTCCGGGTTCCAGTGGCCTCGGCCCCTCCCCCCTGCCCGCACCACCACCACCAAATATTTGTTGTTCTAAGAGGCCCAGCCCTTTGGCCTTAGTACCCTGATCACTGAAACAGCTGTCCTGCCTCCATTATAAAGGGGTAATAAGACCACCCCGATGGGCCATCCTGTCCCTGTCTCCCCCACGTCCCGCAGCCGCCCAGAGCCAGCAGGGACTTGGACACACACTGCCCTGTCCAAAACAAGGGTGCAGTGGGGTCGAGTGGCTTTGAGGGCAGGGTGAGGCTGAGCCCTGCACCTGCCAGCCGTGGGCTCGCTCTGGCTCACTCCCTGGAGGTGCGAGAACCAAATGATCCAAGTCCTCTCAAAAACCAGCAAGCCCGTTGGTGGGTGGGCTGCGACTCCCGGCCGCGCTGCGGAGTAGGGTCACTGCTCTCACTCCGTGCACAGTGGGCTCACCCTGGCCAGCTCCGGTGGCCGGCAGGTGCTACCTGCGACACAGGTCGGAGCGCAGGGTCCGTCTCCTTCCCGCAGACCAGGGCTCTGGGACAGGCCGCTGCTTTCCCTTCTCCCCCACCCCGCCCCCGACACACCTGGCGGGACCACCACCCCCGGCTCGGCTCCGAGGACCCAGGAAGCCGCAGGACCCCTGCCTTTGAAATGCAAGCACAGGGTAAGACAAGACCCTGTCCTACGAGCGTGCCCAGTAAGGGGACGCAAGTGAGAAGCGCGTGATTTTTGGAAGAAACGCTGGCACCACCCCCTCTCGCACAGCGCTGGAACCCCCGGGGCCAGGTCGCTTCCCGGTCTGCACTGCCGCCTGTCCGAATACATAGGGACGCCGGCACCTACCGCACAGCGCTCCTGGCATTCGGCGGGACGCGCTGCGGGGCGATAATCTAGCTCAAAGGTCTTTCTCCATAATCCAGCTTGTTTTCCTCCAAAGGTCTTTTCCCTTTGCCCCCGGGGTCCGCCGCGGCCAGCCCATCAGGAACAGGGCTGGGGACAACCATGACCCGCCGAGTGGCGGCCGGCGAGCTCCATCATCCTCACTCACAGGTGACGGCGACGCGGCTGGGTCCTCGCGTTCCCGCTCGACCACCTCGCTCGGGCTCCAGCCCCTGCTCCCCGCAAGCAAACCCAGGCCAGCGCAGGTCCAACTCCTAAGCAGGCCGGCACCCCCACTTCCTTCCGCTTCCGGGACTCGCCCCGCCCCTTCCGGTAGCGCATCCCAATAGCAAGGCGGGGCCTGCACCCGAGACGTGGTGGCTGGCGCGTCCGTCGGCGCGTCCCAGTGACGCAGAGAGGCGGCGGCCAATGGGAGCGGCGCTGGCCGGCGCGCCCGGCCCCGCCTCCGCCCGGCGTCGGGCCGTCGGACGGGCGGGAAGGGGCGGCCGCTCGGGCAGGATGGCGGCGGCGTCGGGCGCGGGCCCCGGCGCGGGCTCGGGGGGCCCGGGCGCGGCGGGCGGCGGCGGCGGCGGCGGGGCGCGCGAGGGCGCGCGCGTGGCGGCGCTGTGCTTGCTGTGGTACGCGCTGAGCGCGGGCGGCAACGTGGTCAACAAGGTGATCCTGAGCGCTTTCCCGTTCCCGGTGACCGTGTCGCTGTGCCACATCCTGGCGCTGTGCGCGGGGCTGCCGCCGCTGCTGCGCGCCTGGCGCGTGCCTCCCGCGCCGCCCGTCTCGGGCCCCGGGCCCGGGCCGCAGCTGCCGCCGCGATTCTACCCGCGCTACGTGCTGCCGCTGGCCTTCGGCAAGTACTTCGCGTCGGTGTCGGCGCACGTCAGCATCTGGAAGGTGCCCGTGTCCTACGCGCACACAGGTGACCGGGGCAGGGGGCGGGGCGGGGGCGACCACCGCGGTCGGGGCGTGCAGGGAGCCGCCCCCACCTGCCCCCGGCTGGGTGGGCGCTGGGGGCTCGGGCTGAGGGCCCCTCCGCTCTGTCTCCGCAGTCAAGGCCACCATGCCCATCTGGGTGGTCCTGCTGTCGCGGGTCATCATGAAGGAGAAGCAGAGCACCAAGGTGAGGGGCGGGCAGGTGGGGGCCGCCCGGGAGGGACCCAGATGGTGACGTGGTCGGGGCCACGCCGGCTTCCTGTCAAACAAGGAAGTCGGTGCGCCGGGGCCTCCCGCGGCCCTCTTATGGCTTCTCTGCTGGCGGCAGGGGGGCGTGGGGAGGGGCCTGTGGCCCTGGGTGGTCCCTCTGCAGCCGGGCAATGTCTTGCTGTTCTGATTCGCTGCCAACGTAGCTGGCGGCCTGGTCCCCTCCTGATGGGACGCCCCAAGCAGGTGCCCCCCCCATCCCCGGTGGGACCCGAGGCACGGCGGGGTGGTCAGCGAGCTGCCAGGCTGGCCGCGTTTGATGCCTGCAGGGTCTTCGGGCCCCGTGGGTGGCCGGGGTCGGGCCAAGGAGCCGAGGTGCACCTGAGCAGGTGGCTTCTGGCACAGCCCCTGAGTCTGTGGCCGTGGCTGCCGCCGGCGCCAGCCCTGCCCACCCGCTGCCCGCCGTCCTCAAGTGCACGTGGGGTCCCTGGCCCTGTGCCTCTTTCGCAAAATCATCCCAGCAAGAGCTGCGTGTGCTCCCGCTGGGCTCCAGGGTGACACCAGGTGTGACTGGGGGGGGGGGGGGGCAGTGTGCCGCGGCGGCATCACCCAACACCGCGTCACATTTATCGGGTTTCCCGCTGCGTGGGGCACCGTACCCCAGCTTGGGCACAGAGCCGGGAACCTCACACGGAGCCGGGCAGCTACTGATCATGTTGTCATAACTCACCTGTGAGGTAGACGGGGGTGTGGCCTCCGTCCTGAGCTGGCGTTTGGTGTCCCAGGCCCTGGCCTTGGTGGGTGCCCCCCACCCCGAGGTGGGCCCCGGGACAGAGGCAGAGGTCCCTGTGCATCCTGCAAGTGCCCCACGCTTTCTGCAAGGCCCCCTGTCAGTCATCCAGCCAGCACTGTTGAACACCTACTGTATACCCTGCCACCAGCTATTGAGTGCCTGCTGTGTAGCCTAAAGTCGTGCGTGGGGTCACGGGCGTGGAGTGACCTAGCAGGCAGTGAACAGTGGGTGGGTGGGTGGGCGGCGCTCTGGGGGGACGCCTGGGCCGAGCAGGGTGGGGGTGCTGGGTCCCAGGAGGTGCCTATGAATGCTGAGCGGCTGAGGTGCCCCGCCAGGGGTAGCTATACGTTGGGAGAGCCCCAAACGCCCCGGACAGAGACATCTGTTAGGTTAGGGCCCAGCAGGAGGCAGAGGCTCTCGATGGGGGTGGGGCTGCGCCCTGGGACACAAGCCCGCTCCCCAGGTTCCCCTGAGAGCCAACAGCTCCTGCCCAGCCGTGTCCTCCGGGCTCAGCAGCGCCCACCCGCCCCCTGCAGGTGTACTTGTCACTCATCCCCATCATCAGTGGCGTCCTGCTGGCCACCGTCACCGAGCTGTCCTTTGACGTGTGGGGGCTCGTCAGCGCCCTCGCCGCCACGCTCTGCTTCTCGCTTCAGAACATCTTCTCCAAAAAGGTATCCGGGATTCCCGGGGGGCTGCCCGGCGGAGGGGGTGCCGGAGACCCGGGCAAGTAGATATGGCGTCCTGTCTGTCTGCTCTTGAGTGCCGTGTCCTCCCGTCCCGAAGCGAGCATAGGCTCGACGTGGGAAGCAGGGGAGTCTCCACGCGGACTCAGACGCTGTGTCGAGCACCGCTTGGTGTCGGGCTCTGACCTGCGGCTGCCCCGGCAGTGCCCACCCGGGAGACCCGGTGCAGGGCTGGGCGTCGCGGCACAGCGGGTGGAGCCACGCACGGCTGGGACCCTGGTGTCCCATGTCAGAGCACCGGCTCCCGCCCCCTGCTCTCACGCACCCTGGGAGGCAGCAGCAAAGGCCCGAGTGCTTGGGTCCCTGCACCCACCCGGGAGACCCGGATGGAGCTCCAGGCCCTGGCCAGGCTGGAGCCAGGAGCCTGGAGCTCAGTTTGGGTCTCCTGTGGGGAGGAGGTGGAGCCCCGGCCACTTAGCACCACCCACTGCTGCCTCCTCTTCCCGGTCCCGCCTTCGCACACGGGCTTGGGCTCGCCGCTCACGCAAGGGTGTCGGGGGGCCGTGGCCGTGGCCGTGGCTGTGGCTCTAGGCGGCCTTGTCCCTCCCCAGGTGCTGAGGGATTCGCGGATCCACCACCTGCGCCTGTTGAACATCCTGGGCTGCCACGCGGTCTTCTTCATGATCCCCACCTGGGTCCTGGTGGACCTCTCTGCTTTCCTGGTCAGCAGCGACCTGGTGAGTGGCCGGCGCGCCGGGGAGGGGCCCTGAAGGGGAGGGGCTGTGCCTGGCCCGGAGGTCCTCTGTCCTCGCTGCCACCTGCGGTGGAGGAAGCGGGACGCGTGCACTTCCTGATAGCAGCCTCACGCGTGTGCCAGGGCTCCAGGGAGAGAGAGCGGCGCTCGGCGGGGTGGCAGTGGGGGCTCCCGCTGCCCCAGTGGTCCTCGTCAGCCCTCACCCCGACCTCTTGAGATCCTGCTGGCCCTGCGCCGCTCGTGTCCTGACAACGTCCCCGTCCACGCCGGGGAGCATGGGACAGGGCGGTTGGCTCTGGCACACAGGCTGGGAAGGCCCCCCCCCACGGGAAGGAGGAGGGTCTCCCTCTTTCCACGGCCCTCCCTCCTGAGCTACCCTCGCACCTGGGCCTCTCGTCCTGTGTCTCCCACATGGATGCACGCAGACCCCAGGGTCGTCAGCTGGCCCCATGCTGGGCTGAGTAACGGGAGGGGGTCCAGTTAGGAGAAGGTCACCCGGTGTCCCCTGCTCACCTCTGGCCTGTGAGGCAGAGGCCAGAGCAGGTACATGCCAGCGACCCCGGCCAAGCCAGGCGGGGAGGGCCAGGCTGGACAAGTGACCGGGTTTTCAGGGGTGGAGAGAGCACCTGGGACAGCTACTGCAGAAATGAAAACTGGTAGCAGCCAACGGTGAGAAAACCTTTTTTTTTTTTTTATTTATTTGAAAGGCAGAGTTATAGAGAGGGAGGAAGAGGGATTTTATTTGCTGGTTCACTCTCCAAATAGCCTCAACAGCCAGGGCTGGGTCAGACCAAAGCCAGGAGCCAGGAGCTCCCTCCAGGTCTCCCACGTGGGTACAGGGGCCCAGGTACTTGGGCCATCTTCTGCTGCTTTCCCAGGCTGCAGCAGAGAGCTGGATCGGAAGTGGAGCAGCCGGGACTTGAACTTGTGCCTATGTAACATGCCCGTGTTGCAGCTTTGAAGACGGTGCTTGCTTTGCAACCGCAACGCGCAGAACCAGGCCGGGCAGGCTCGTCGGCTGCGCCTGGGAATGCCAGCATTCTTCCTAGGATTAGTGGGGCCCGGCACATCAGGATATGCTGTGCCCAGGACGTGGTCTGGAATGACCCGGCACGTGAGGCAGCAGGAAAATCCCACGTCGCGGAGGAACAGCAGCTGCCAGCCCTGGAATCAGGAGACAGAGACTTGGAGCAGTAACTGCAACCATGTTTCAAGAAGTAAAGGCAAACACTCTTGAAATGAATAAGAAGACATAGGTCAAAGAACCAGCTGGGAGTTTTTAGACAGTTAGCTGTTAGGGTGAGAGAGCTCCCATTCACCAGCAACAGCCATGGGCAGAGCCGAAGCCAGGAGCTCCCCCGAGGTTTCCCACGCGGGCGCAGGCACCCGACCGCCGGAGCCGGAGCCGGAGCCGGGAGCAGAGCCCAGAGTGAGACCTTTGAAAACAGACGCAGAGAAACGACGCAGCCCGCACCACAGACCAATCCCAGGACAGCGAGCCGAGCCCTGGGACGGCACCTGGGGTGATGAGAGGAGGATGTGGGGCCCGGGGGCTCCCCCGAGGACCGCCCTGTCTGCCAGAGGACGCTCCCCGCAGGGTCGAGAGGCCGGGCGGGCCCCATGCAAGGAAAAACCAAAGATGTCCATGCGCAGATGCGTCGCGGGCAGCGGCACAGGAACGTTCCAGAACACCAGTGCGTTCATCAGAGGGGAGCCCAGCTACATTGTCAGAGCCCTGAAACCAGACCGCCACGCCAGGAGCCGGCGCGAGCACGGGCACATGCCCCAGAAGCAGACAGCGTGGAACGCCGGCCGGACAAAGGCGTGGGCAGCCGCAGCCGGCCGGGCCTCCCTGGTGTCTCCGGGACACCCAGATGCGGCGGCTCTGCAGCCCTGCGCTTCTTGTGTGGTTTTAATGAGGATCTGTTTGTTTATTTGAAAAAGTTAGAAGGAGAAACGAGAGAGAGAGATCTTCCATTTGCCCAGGGACTTGGGCCCAGGCGCGCTGGCAGGGAGCGGGATTGGAGGTGCCGGCGCCATGGGCAGTGGCCCCCTTTTTTTTTTTTTTTTTTTTAAGTACACTTGGAACGTTCACGGAGACAGCCCATATTCTACTACTTAAAGTAAACCTCAACAAATTCCAGCGGTGGGTGGCTGGCGTCGGGCGCAGCCATGGAGATGCACACAGGGCCCTGGCTCCCGCATCAGGGTCCCCGGTTCAAGTCCCCGCTCCTCTGCTTCCGATCCGGCTCCCTGCACATGCGCACCCTGGGAGGCCGCAGTGAGGGCCCCGGTGCTTGGGCCCCTGCACCCACGGGGGAGACCCGGATGGAGCTCCAGGCTCCTGGCTTTGGCCTGGCCCAGCCCTGGCTATTTTGGCCATTTGGGGAGTGAACCAGCAAATGAAAGACCTGTGTGTGTGTGTGTGTGTGTGTGCGCGCACGCGCGTGCGTGTGTCTCTCTAACACTGCCTTTCAAATAAATTAATCTTGGGGAGGAAAAAACATTTAAAAGAAAAAGCCCGGATGGGCTGCCTGTCTCCACCGGGCACAGGGCTGAGGGGTCCTGGTTGGTCGACTCAGGGAGGGACCACCCCCCCAGCCCGAAGGCAGATGCAGGCTGCAGGGTGCCTGGCTCGGGTTTGGGGGTTCAGGTCTTGGCTCACCCCTTCCCTGCCCGCCCTTGTTCCCTAGGCCACTCACTCCCATGGTCCTAGGTTCAGTCCCCTTGCCCAAGGTGGGCATGGCCTGGGGTGTGGCCCCCGGAGAGCAGCCCTCCCCCCACATCTGGGCCTTGGGGCCCCGGGCTGTCCCAGCCCTCCCAGGGCAGTCCCACACAGCCTGGGGCGGGGTCCAGAGCTCAGGCGTCTCCCCGTGACGGCTCCTGCCACGTGTGGCCCCGGGACTGAGCCCCACTGCTTTCCCAGGCGCATTAGCAGGGAGCTGGACTGGACGTGGAGCCGCCGGGGCCCGAACTGGCTGCGCCCAGCCCAGCCCCTGGACAGCACTTGCAAAGCCGGGCTCCCGCTGGAGCCCCAGGGGCGCGGGGATCAGCCCTTCCCGTCCCCCACCCGCAGGAACTGAGGCCCGGGTTCTTGGCGCAGCCGGAGCCGGAGCCGCCTTCACCGTGACCTCCTGGCCTGGGGGACCAGGGTGGGACAGACCCCCGCTGCCTGCGCACGCGCACCCCAGGAGGCGGGCGCGTTGCCCCCTGGGCCTGGCTGTCGCAGGTGCTGACCGCGCCCCGGCCCCACCCCGCAGGCCTCCGTGTCGCAGTGGCCCTGGACGCTGCTGCTGCTGGCCGTGAGCGGCTTCTGCAACTTCGCCCAGAACGTGATCGCCTTCAGCATCCTCAACCTGGTCAGCCCCCTCAGCTACTCGGTGGCCAACGCCACCAAGAGGATCATGGTCATCAGCGTGTCCCTGCTCATGCTGCGCAACCCGGTCACCAGCACCAACGTCCTGGGCATGATGACGGCCATCCTGGGCGTCTTCCTGTACAACAAGGTGAGGCCCGCCCGGGGCAAGGGGGGGGGTCCCCACGGCGGGACGCCACCTCCAGGAGGGCGGCCAGGCTGCCCCGTCTCCCCGCGGCCTGAGCCGGGCTCTTCTCCCGCAGACCAAGTACGACGCGAACCAGCAGGCCCGGAAGCACCTGCTGCCGGTCAGCGCAGCGGACCTGGGCGGCAAGGAGCGGCACCGCGGCCCGGCCGAGAAGCCGCACAACGGCCTGGTCTTCCCGCAACACCTGCAGTACGGCCGCCAGGGCCACGCCAGCGCCTACGCCGTGAACCGCTACGACGTGTAGGGCGCGGCGGCCCTGGCCGCACCGGGACCCGGATCCGGACTGACCGCCAGGCGGCGCCGCCCTCTCCCGTCCTGCGCTGCGGATGCGCCCCGGCCTGCAGGCCCCGGAGCCGCCGGCAGGAGGCGCGCTGGCGGGGCAGGGCGGGGCGGAGCCACAGGTGAGCCGCTGACGTCATGAGGTGCGGCAGGTGCCCACCCTGAGCTCCCGCAGTGCGTGCCAGCGTGGCAGGTGCGGAGGGAAGGGACCCTCATCTGCTCCCTCGGCGCGGCTTGGCCCCATTTCCACCGCCCCGGGGTGGGCAGCGGGCTCCCGGCAGCCTCCACGCTCGGCCTGTGGTCCGCGTCCCCTCGCCGTCTCTGGGTGTCTGGCGCGTCCGCGATGAGCCGGGGGACGCTGGCCTTGCACGTTTCCGGGACAGTTCTGTGGCCCTGCGGTTCCTGCCTGGGGCCGCGCGAGGCCCGGATGATGGCTCAGAAATGGTTCTGCGTTCGCTGCGGTTTGAGGAGAGAAGCGGGCGAGTGTGGAGACGCCGGTCTCTGGGTGACCGTGCTCTCTGCCGAGGCAGCCCGCTAGGGCCCCGACCGCTCTGCTGCCGGGGGAAGAGCCGAGCCGGGCTGGCTCGGCGCAGATCCTCGGACCGAGAAGCAGCTTGGGCCGGTGCAGAATCACATCAGGACCGTCAACGCGAGGGGGCTTCAAAAAGTCGGCGGGAAATGCGTATTCTCTCTTTTTTTAAATCCCATTTCTCCGCCAACTTGTTGAAGCCGCCTGGTGGGACCCCCGGCGTGCGGAGCCCCAGCTGTTCGGTGCCCTCACTCACAGGGAACCCTGTCTGTGGGGTCCCCGCCTCTCGCTGGACACCTGGGACGGGTGCTCCCCGGTTCAGAAAGGACGTGACGTCATCGTCTGCCTCACCCCTGGGTTCTGGTTTTGATTTTGTAGCCGGCGGCCTCTTGATCATTGGGACTTTGTAAGAGGCGTCGTGGGCTCTCCTGCGGGTGCCCGGGCAGGGCCCGCGCCGGGAGGCAGCCATGGTCAAGGGTGGCGTCGGCGGGGAGAGCCTGCCCCGGCCGGATCTCCCTGCTGGAGAAGCCCGCACGGCGCCCGAGGCCAGACGCTCGCTCGTCCTCTGGCGGTGGCGGGGCGGCCAAGCCCCGAACTTGCCATCGACCCCCACGATGAGCCGCGCACCTGTTCAGGCTCGTGAGGCTCCCGACCTTGGCGAAGCGGGAGGTGCCCTGTGTCCGGTGTTGCACTGGTTTCTGGGTGAAGGCTCGGGCTGTTGGACTCTGTGACACATTCGCAGCAGGTGCACACCAGGGAGCGGGCACGGCCACCACAGGGGACCGAGTCCGTGAGGCGGCCCCCGGGGCGCACCCTCCTCAGTGCTGGGGGTCTGCCCACCCCCGGGGCGGTCGCTCAGATGCAGCTCCTCCGTTTGACGGGGGAAACTGAGGCCCGCTGCTCACTGTCGCGAGGCCTGGCGTTTTTAAGCACCTTATTTGAAGTCTTACTCGTCGTGTGGGCAAAATCCAGCCCAGGCAAGCAGGCCGGCCGGGGGTGGCCGGGTGAGCGGGACCTGGCTGGCTGCCACCCTGCCGCCGGCCCCGCGTCCCGGCCAGGACACTGCAGGGCTGACAGCCATGAGCACAGAGAACATTAAATTATTAAAGGACCTGGAACTTGGTACGATTCTTTCTCGGTTTTCTGTTTTGCTTTTTTAACTGTCACCTGTTTCCGAGACTTCAGTGCTGTCGGCTGCTCTGTGGGAATAACGCCGTGTATCCACGTTTACCAAAAATCAGTGATGGTCCCTGGGGGCCGGCATGGGCCCTGCCCCATCGGTGAGGGGCCCTTTCTCAGGGACCATCTTCAGCGGGCCCAGCAACGCCAGCATCCCACAGGGGCGCCGGTTCAAGTCCCGGCTGCTCCTCTCCCCATCCAGCTCCCTGCTGTGGCCTGGGAAAGCAGTGGAGGATGGCCCAAGTGCTTGGGCCCTGCACCCGCATGGGAGACCCGGATGGAGCTCCTGGCCCCTGGCTTCGGATCAGCGCAGCTCTGGCCGTTGTGGCCATCTACGGAGTGAACCAGCGGATGGAAGACCTCTCTCTCTGCCTCTGTCATTCTTTCAAATAAATAAATTGTTTAAAAAAAAAATAAGAGGTAGAAGCAGCAGGATGGACGTGGTGCTCCAGTTCAGATGTGTTACAACCTAATATTTTTGTTCTTCTGAACCAAAGTTGAGGTCCTGTGGCTCGGGACTGCACGGGACAGAACCCCGCTCGGCAGTGCACAGGGAGCCCAGCTGCTGCCCTGGGGGCACAGGTTCACAGCCCGGCTGCTCCCCTTCCGATCCAGCTTCCTGCTAACGTGCCCCATCACTCTGCCTTGCAAATAAAGTCCTGTGAAAAATAAAGCTGGGGGGTGGGGACTGTGAGGACAGCTTGTCCCAGGCACCTGCTGCATGTGCAGTGTGGTGACAGCTTGTCCCAGGCACCTGCTACATGTACTGTGTGGTGACGCTTGTCCCGGGCACCCGCTGTATGCCCCGCGCGGTGACGGCTTGTCCCGGGCACCTGCTGCACGTGCTGTGTGGTGACGGCTTGTCCCGGGCACCTGCTGTGCACCCTGCGTGGCACTGGGCCGTTCCCACACAACCTCGCCGGTCCCTTTGTGTCGCTTCACTCACCCTAGTTGACAGCTGTCCACAGCTGGGTCCCCGCCCACTGCTCAAACCGCCTAGGAGTTTGGGCCAACAGCCACGCCCAGGCCTCCTCCGTGATGGGCGGGGCACGTGACCTGCCCGGCCACAGCGACTGGTGGCTGTGCCTCCTCCCCTCGCACTGGCCGGGTGAACAGGGAGCGCGCGGTGTCTGCAGGGGAGGGGCTGAGCCGGCGTGCAGGGGCTCCGGGGGTGGCCTCGCTGACTTGAACTTGGTCACACGAGATTCCAGCCCCGCTTTATTTTACTCTATTTTTTTTTTTAAAGACTTATTTATCTGAAAGAGAGAGCTTCCATCTGCTGGTTCACTCCCCAAATACCAGCAGCCGGGGCTGGGCCAGGCCAACGCCAGGAGCCTGGACCCACATCCGGGTCTCCCATGTGGGTGGCAGGGGTCCAAGCACTTGAGCCACCCATCGTTATCCGCTGTCAAATGGCCCCAACAGCCAGGGCTGGGAGCGCCATCCGTCTCCCACGTGGGGTGCAGGGCCCCCAAGTATTTGAGCCATTACCTGCAGGGAGCCGGGTCAGAAACCGGGGGCTGCGACCGCCCTCGGATAGGGGATGTGGGCAGTGCGGCCGCGGCTGGGACCTCTCTGTCGCCACACTGGCCCCCCTGTGTCCATTTCTAAGCTAGCTTAGGGTCCTGTTTGCCACAACGTATTGAGGTGAGACTATGGGGTGGCTTGGGTTGGCTCCATTTTTAGGCAACCATTAAAGGGTCTTAGCTACAACGCCAGCATCCCATGTGGTTGCCAGCTGGAGCCCCGGCTGCTCCAGTTCCGATCCAACTGTGTGCTGGGAGGGCAGTGGAAGATGGCCCAAGTCCTGCACCTGCGAGGGAGACCCGGATGGAGCTCCTGGCCCCTGGCTTAGCCTTGGCCTTTGCAGCCGATCGGGGAGTGAACCAGCGGATGGAAGACCTCTCTCTCTCTCGCTCTCCCTCTCTTTCTCTGTGTAACTCCTTCAAATAAATAAATCTTAGAGAGAGAGCTCACCACGTCCACCCTCAGTACTTTAGTAGGATTGTTCAAAAGGCCATTTAACTAAGGCCAAAAATAGAAGCAAGGCAGGGCCTGTGCCGCTGTGGTCAGGGGCGGCGGCTGTTGCCGGGATGCGCTCCAAGGCTGCGGCCGGCCGAGCGAGCAGGACACAGCCCGGGGTGGGGCCGCCGGGGCGCCCAGCTCAGCGCCGGATGTGGTGTGGCGTGCAGCTCCGGGGGTCCCAGGCGGGGGCTCCTGGGCTGGCAGCAGTGGCCTGGCGTGGCCAGAAGAGGGGCCTGAGCCCGTGAGAGCGCATCCCGTCCCCCCACGGGACGCCCTCCCACAGGCCAGCTCCATGGGCTCGGGACACCGTGGGGCAAGGCACCGCGGGTGGCGCTGCCGGCAGCCTATACCGGGGCGCGGGTTCGAGTCCCGGCGGCTCCGCTTCCGAGCCAGCGCCCTGCCGGTGCGCCTGGGAAGCCGGCAGAGGATGGGTCAGGTGCCTAGGGGGTCCCCACCCCCCACGTGGGAGACCCCGATGGAGCTCCTGGCTCCCGGATTCAGCACGGCCCAGCCCTCACTGTTGCAGCCACCTGGGGAGTGAACCAGAAGACGGGGGAAAAAAAAAGAACAATCTAGAATACACGTGCATCCGTGTGCATCGAGAACCCGAGGGAGCCTCACAGCAGTCCCCGGAAAATGCGATCCAGAGTTTCGGTTCGCTCTGCGGAACCCCGAGCCCACGCCAAGGCGGTGGGGTGCTCCGCGACGGCTGTCAATCAGCCTCGAGGGGGTGGGCCGTCGGCAGCCCCTGCGCGTCCCGGCCCGAGTTACAGCAGGCGCCGGTCTACCCGCCTGCTACAAACCCACCAACCGCCCCGTCCAGGCCGGCGCCCCGGGTCTTGGGCTCCCGCGCGCTCCGGGCCGCCCGGGGGGATGTGAGGGACAGCGCCCCGGACTCCTCTCGCCCGCGGGCACGCCCTGGCGCCGGGTAACGGCCGCTCGCGACGACCCTGCCAGCCCCGCGGCGCCGCGCGCCAGGGCCGCGAAGTGCGCATGCGCGCGACTATCTTGGCGCGTGCGCCTCGCTCACCACGCCCGCGCGCCGGGTCTCGCGCGGCTTCGCCCCGCCCTCCTCCTGGGGCTCACTTCCGGAGTTTCCGGGCGACGGCCGTAAGTGGCGGGCGGAAGCGGCCCGCGAGGCGCGCCGTAAACGGCTCCCGCGCGCCACTTCCGGCCGGGTTCCGCAGACGGCGCTGGTGGGCCATCGTTAAGGCGCCGGAGGACGTTCCCCGCGGCAGGAGCCATGGAGATGCCTCTGCCGCCCGACGGTGAGGCCCTGCGCGGCGGGGAGGCCGTTCCTCCCTCCCTGGCGCGCCCTGGCGCTCGGCGCCGCCCCCCGGGAGCCCCCGGGCCCGGGAGGGGGCGGGGCTCGGCCTCGCGCGGCTTCGCCTGAGGCCTCCTCCCGTGGGTCCCCGCATCCCCGGCGCGCGTGCGGCCCCTGCCGGGACCCGTACGAAGGCGGTGTCTCCGGGGCCCGCCCCTCCAGGGCGACCCCCGGCCCGGGGCTCCGCGGACGGGGTGTGGGGGCCCCCGCGGGGCCATGGGGAGGGGTCGGCCCTCGCTCACGCCCCGCGTGGCCTCCGCGCAGACCAGGAGCTGCGGAATGTCATCGACAAGCTGGCCCAGTTCGTGGCCCGCAACGGGCCCGAGTTCGAGAAGATGACGATGGAGAAGCAGAAAGACAACCCGAAGTTCTCGTTCCTGTTCGGGGGCGAGTTCTACAGCTACTACAAGTGCAAGCTGGCGCTGGAGCAGCAGCAGCGTGAGTGTCCGCCGCGACCCCGGGCTCGGGCTCCCCGAGGTTGCTGTTCCGCGCTGGGGGGCGCCCTGGGGGGGCCGTCGGGTGGTCGAGGTCTGATGCACCCCCGCCCCCCCCCCCGGAGTCGCAGGCCGGGGTCGCGGGGCTCAGGTGCCGGCGGGGAGGGGCGTGTCGTCAGGAAAACCAGTTGTAGTTCCTGATCCGGCATACATATCGAGTGAGAGGCAGATGGTTTTGTTGTGTGCCGGGGCGTATAGGTCGTGCACATAGATAGGTTGTAGAGATGATCCCGGGAGCGGGGTCAAAAAAGCCCGGTCAGTGTGGCCGGGCATGTTCCCGGCTATGGCAGGAAGTTTCATGTGGGGGCGGGAGTGGGCGTGGGGGCGGCTGCGATCCACGGGCAGAACCCACGCAGTTGGAGGCCAGGTGGCTGTGGCCGTGTCCACCCCAGGGGTCAGAGAGCCCGCAGGTGCTGGGAGCTGGAGTGGGCGGGGTTAGCGGGGCAGAAGGTGTGGGAGACAGGGGAGGCGCTTGGCTGGGATTGGTGGGGGCGGCCGACGCCCAGAGCAGGGGTCCTGTTGTGGCCAGAGTTGGGGAGAAGTAGGGAGGGCCAGGATGCATCCTGGGAGCTGGGGGTGGCAGGTGCACCGGCCCCTGGGCCGAGCCCCGGGGCTGCTCTTGGCAAACGCTGGGGTAAGGGCAGGGTTTTGTTTTTTGTTCTATAAAATTCCTAGTCTGGACCTGTGGGGTTTTTGTTTGTTTTTATTTGGTTATTTGAAAGTCAGAGTTACAGCGTGGGGAGACAGGTCTTCCATCTGCTGGTTCACTCCCTAAATGGCCACCACGGCTGGAGCTGGGCCAGTCCAGAGCCAGGAGCTTCTTCTGGGTCTCCCAAGCACTCGGACCCTCCTCCACTGCTTCCCCAGGCGCGTTAGCAGGGAGCTGGATCGGACGTGGCGTAGCCGGGACTCGAACCAACACCTAAGGGCATGCTGGTGTCCCAGGCAGTGGCTTGACCTGCCACACCACGGCGCTGGCCCCGGAGTGCAGCAAGAGCGTGAGCCACGAAGTTGCACTGTGCTCCCGCCCTTCTGTAGCCGTCGGGTCACGCTAGCTGCCCCAGGGCCGCCGGTATGGGAGGGGGGACGGGGTGCGATCCGGAGTCTGGGAGTGCGTGCCCGGGCCGGGCTGAGAGGAAATAGACCAAGGCCAAGGCCTCCCCCAAGCTCCTGTTTTGCTGCAGAGAGTTAGGACCCGCGTGCGGGGCTGTTGATAGCTCAGTGGGTGCGCAGGAGAGGCTGCGTGGACGGGGCACAGCGGACGGGCTCTGTCAGTACCCACGCCCACGCAGCCATGGGGCTGTGTCGGATCCCCCTGGCGTTGCGGGGTACAGGGGACAGGGCTCCGAACCCAGACGGGGCTCCCAGAGGTTAGGGGTCAGACGGGAGGGGCATCACCAGGAGTGATGGGGGAGGGGGCGGGGGCAGTGGGGGCCCGAGACGGGTGCACGGGGGCAGTGAGGGCGTCCCCCGTGGCCCGGGGGACGCCGAAGCTAGGCTGCCTGGGACTAAGGGCGCTCACAGCTACGTTTGCTGAGAGGGGAGCGTGGGATCTTGGGGCGTCTTGGTGATGGCAGTGGAAGAGGGAGAGAACATTCTATAGCGGATGTCCCTGGGAGACACCCCTCCTCCCCCGCACCCCAAGGCCAGGTCGCCTTGGGGTGGCTCAGATGTTGTGACCCAACAAGGCTCAGAGCCAGGGCCGAGACTGTGTCCAGCGCCTTCCCCACACAGGGTGGGCTGCGGGTCAGGGTCAGGGCGTGGCGGTGTGACGTCTGCAGGCGACAGGGAGAAAGGGGACGTGGCAGAGGGCGAGGCAGGGCGGCCCCCGGGGCTGGGGGCCAGGACAGGGTGGCACTGGTGAGGGAGCAGCATCTGGGGAGGGCTGCCGCGGCGTGGCCCTGCCCGGAGCCCTGTGAGCGCCTCTCAGCCGCCCGCCCTTTCCCGCCAGTCATCTGCAAGCAGCAGGCGCCGGAGCTGGAGCCGCCCCTGCCGCAGCCGCCGCCGGCCCAGGGCGCCCCGTCCATGGACGAGCTCATCCAGCAGAGCCAGTGGAACCTCCAGCAGCAGGAGCAGCACCTGCTGGCGCTCAGACAGGTACGGCCTCGCCCTGCTCGGGGGGGCCCCCGGGAGCCGGACACGGGTCTTCCACCAGAAAAGACGCTGGCTGGGTCTCGGGATGCCTTTGTCCCAAAAGCAACTTTATTTGAGAAGTAGAGTTACAGACAACGAGAGAGAGCGGGAGAGAGGTCTTCCATCCGCTGGGTCACTCCCCAAATGGCCGCAATGGCCAGAGCCGGGCTGATCAGGAGCCAGGAGCTCCATCCGGGTCACCCACGTGGGTGCAGGGGCCCAAGCACTTGGGCCATCCTCCACTGCTTCCCCAGGCCACAGCAGAGAGCTGGATGGGAAGAGGAGCAGCTGGGACTCGAACTGGCGCCCCTATAGGATGCTGGTGCTTCAGGCGGCTTTACCGTCCTGAGCCAGGCCGGGGGCCCTGCTCACACAGCCCTGTCCCTCCCGGGAGCCACAGCCAGCCCGTCCACTTTCTTAAGTCCTCCTGAGATGAGAGGGCGTTGCCTTGAAGGGCAAAGACCCCCGAACGCTAGTGAGGTTGTAGGTCAGGACCCAGATGTCTGCCGGCCTTGCTGGGACTGCCGCCCGCGCCTTGCTCCCAGAGGGTGACGGTGGCCCAGCGGGCGGTCCCCCTGCCGCTCACGCAGCCCGCCCCGCCCCGCAGGAGCAGGTCACGGCGGCCGTGGCCCACGCCGTGGAGCAGCAGATGCAGAAGCTGCTGGAGGAGACGCAGCTGGACATGAACGAGTTCGACAGCCTGCTGCAGCCCATCATCGACACGTGCACCAAGGACGCCATCTCGGTGAGGGCGGCGCCGGGGTGCGGGCTGGCGGGCGCAGCCCCGGGCCTGCCGCGCCCCGCTCACCGCAGCCCGGCTGTCACAGGCCGGCAAGAACTGGATGTTCAGCAACGCCAAGTCGCCGCCGCACTGCGAGCTGATGGCGGGCCACCTGCGCAGCCGCATCACGGCCGAGGGCGCGCACTTCGAGCTGCGGCTGCACCTCATCTACCTCATCAACGACGTGCTGCACCACTGGTGAGCGCCGCCGCCCCCCGGCGCGGCTGGCCCCGGGGGTGTGGGGGGAGCCTCAGTGCCGGGCCCCTGGGCCGACCACGCCCACTCAGTCACCTGGCTACTCGGCCACGCCCCTCGGGGCCCCTGGGCTGACCGCCGTCCTGCGCGGCGCTGCCGGCCACTTGCGTGTCTCTGGCGAAGGTTAACGAGAGTAACCAGACACCTGGGCAGGGCAGGGCTCGGCTGGTGAGAGACACATGCGTGCGAGAGCTTCCGAGCGTGGCTGGGCTGGCGGGGAGGGCCGAGTTAGCCACAGGGCCCCCCATGAGTGTGACAGAAGCTGGCCGGGCCTGTCACCCACGCATCCCAGCCCAGGTCCCCCGTGCTGTGCAGCACGGTGTTGGCTCCACCGCGGGAAATGAGCAGCCACCGCCAGCTCCCTCCGGCGCCTCTGCGGGCCAGGCCTCTCGCCCTTCGTCGGAAGCCGAGGGCCGCTTCCCCTCCCCGTCCTTCCCGGCCCCCGGCCCTTTGCTCAGCACTGGGGGTGGAGCCGCTCACCCCTGCCCTGCGTCCCTCCCTGGCTCAGCCACCACCCTGCTGCCCCCTCCCCCGTGCACTGCGGCGCACAGCGCGTCCCCGGCCAGTGCTGCTCAGTGGCCCTGAGGACACGGGACTGGGCCCGTGGCCAGAGGGTCCTCGAGGCCTGAGGGTCAGTGGCTACCCTGCCTTCCCTCCAAGAGGCTCGGCCGCGTGTTGCCTCGTGCACAGCAAGTGACAGGGACGTGGCCCTGCCCCCCCGGCCCCGGGGCACCCTGTGTGGACACTCGGGGCTGTGTCGAGGCCCCGCGGCCACCCCAGGAGGGACGGGGAGCTGGGGGAGAGGCCTGGCTCCGGCCGGCCCGGGCTGCAGCCTCTCCCTCCTCCCCTCGCGGCCTCGGGAGCGCAGCCGTCACCCCGCAGGGTTGGGGGCCGTTCCCGGAAAAGGCAGAGGGTGCTGTGGCCGGAGCCGCGATGGTAACGGGCGCGTGGCCGGGTCCCGTCCCAGGGCCCTGACGCGCGGAAGGTCTCTCCCTCACAGCCAGCGCAAGCAGGCCCGGGAGCTGCTGGCCGCCCTGCAGAAGGTCGTCGTGCCCATCTACTGCACCAGCTTCCTGGCCGTGGAGGAGGACAAGCAACAGAAGATCGCGCGGGTCCGTGGGCGCCGGGGGCGGGGCGGGGCCCGGCCGGGGAGGGCGCGCCAGCCCCTCACCGCCTCCCCCTCCTGCCCCCGCAGCTCCTGCAGCTCTGGGAGAAGAACGGCTACTTCGATGACTCCATCATCCAGCAGCTGCAGAGCCCGGCGCTAGGGCTTGGCCAGTACCAGGTGCGGCGAGCTCCGAGGGGCTGCCTGTGGCGGCTGCCCGGGCCTGGGGGAGCTCAGACGCGGTGTTGCCTGTTTGTTTCGGTTTCTGGAGTGGGGTCACAGTGGTCCCAGGCTGGGCGTGTGGAGACAGCTCACGGACTCGGAGCTGGGCCCACGGCCGTGCCTCCCTGGAGGGCTGGGGGCTGAGCTCTCCGCGTTGACCCCCGTCCTCCACGTGGGGAGTCGAGGAGGGCCGGGGGCGTGTCCAGCTAGCGGCAGCCCCGCCCGCCTGCCCCGGTCCCTGACCGGCGGCGCCCTTCTCGCAGGCCACGCTCATCACCGAGTACTCGGCGGTGGTGCAGCCGGTGCAGCTGGCCTTCCAGCAGCAGATCCAGACCCTGAAGACGCAGCACGAGGAGTTCGTCAACAGCCTGGCCCCA